TCCGAACCAGAAAAGAACAGTGACGATGACGAAGTACCTTCCGGTGGTTCGAAGAACCGCCAGGACAAACCTATTGCGTCCGCTAGTGGCGTAGCGGAGGTGGATGGTAAGTAGATTGCGGTGGAGAACTCATGATGTCACCCTAACCCAAATTCGTGATGCAAATGGATGAAGTGCTAATTATTGTGAAATTGTTTTGTAGGCGGTGCGACGAACATGCCGGGGGAGGCCAGCATACCCGTGCAATGCAATGACCCACCCACCACAAAGAGGCCACGATTGACACGCGTCCGACGTCCTGCTGTATCTACAAGGACTCCGTACACCAGGGGGAGGACAAAGAGAGTGAAGAAATAAGGTTTTTTTGGCAAAACATTTACATTATTGCAAGTTTGTGTGAACTTCGTGTATGTGGAATCCAAATTCTGTTGGGGGCCAATTTTTGCTAGGTAAGCTCGATCGACGGTGTTGCGTTCCTGTTAGATGCAATATTGAACTGGTAGTCGTATGTTTATGTTATTCTAAAAGAGCATGTTGAATAGTATACGAATATTCTCTGTAATGTTCATATCACATGCAATTCAAAGATATTATTGTCGAATTTTCTCATGTGCACTTGAATATCTGTCATACCGTACATCGTTAATCATTATTCATTCTCCGTAATGTTCGGATCACATGAAATTCCAAGATATTATTGTCGAAATTGCTCATGTTCACTTCAATATCTGTCATACTGTACATCGTCAATCATTATTCATTCTCCGTATTGTTCGGATCACATGCAAGTCAAAGATATTATTGTCGGAGTTGCTCATGTTCACTTCAATATCTGTCATACCGTACATCATCAATCATTATTTATTCTCCATAATATTTGGATCACATGCAATTAAAATATATTGTTGTGGCTCTGCATTATGTATGTAAGAGCACCGTCGTATTGTTATTTTTTTAGTCAACTATTCTTGTCGAACATCCTGCATATTTGCGTTTACTAAATTAACTTCCATGATAACTTTGATCTGATTATCTCATTTTTGCTTATTGAAGTGCAGATGACAGTGCATGAAGATGTCTCAACCCCATCCATGGTCACTGCATCGCAACTTGCAGTTCACGTAGGGTGCTTGACAGGGGTCAACGTTGTATTAACAAATTTTTTGTTATTGGTTGCGATGATTGTCGTATAAAAATGTCCAAATTCAGTGACACTTTTGCTTGCCAAGCTCATCCATGTAATTGTTGTTGGTTGCAATGATTGTTCTATAAACCCGGTACGCAGGCGCATATGGATCATCCTCGATTTTTGTACATCATTTGTGAATGTGTTATATCATAATTACTTGTACGAAGTTGCCATTTGTTGCTCTTTATGCATGCGCATGTCACTAGAAATTATGTATTCCGGAATTTCCACTAAGTCGAGAGTATGCAGTGTCGTTCGATGCGTCATCTAAAAGACAATAATTTCATAATCTCGTGATTCCATTATGATATTCGTTTTTTAATTGAGTAAAAAAAAGGTAACAACATAGCACAATTCATTTAACTTGTATTTAATATAATGTTATAACAAATACATGCAGCAGCATGGAAAAAATCTTACATATGGGCGTTAATTTTAAAAAAAATTTCACAATTTCTGGAAGGAGCAGGACATGCAAAAATTGAAAATGGAAATGAAAAGCGTGCTTAACTCATTCTAATTCATTTCCAGAATAATTCAATTGTCATAACTCACATAGGTACTGATCTTCCAACCCTAGCCACCATTTAAGGACATATCCTAGGGATTAAAGTATAATTAGACCATCATCCATCACACAGTTGTCTATCAAATTTGAATTGGATGGGACTTGGTGGTTGGGTACTAAATGAGCTTCAATGCATCTCTCCAAAAACTCTACTATATATAGCATGGTAAGTCAACATTATCATTTACACATGAAATATTGACACTTGAAAATTCATGTTGCAGTCTATACGTTTAGTCCTCCACAGGTTCAGTAAATATTTTCATATCAACACAATGGCGTCGTCGACAAGGAGCAATGAATCATTGAAGCATGAGGAGCCACTACCAACACCCGATTCGTCCCTACTATGTCCCATCATCATTGCTTCGGACGACGAGGAAGCGAGTTCTGAACGCGGTAGGAGAGCCACATCCGTTGTTCCCTTTTTCGAACCTCGACGATGTTTCAAGTGAAGCTTCCCGAAGTCTGAAGACTGTGCTTGATTGGGTCGTCCCACTGATGGTTCCGAAGGAAGTTGAGTCAGACGATGACGCGTGGTTGGCTCATGTTCCATTTCCCGAGATCATTGTCATCAGCTCCGATGACTCGGAACAAGATGGTTCGAGTGTGGACAATCAATGAAGTGGCTAATATGGGTATGTGGTGCGTATGAAATAATGTATAGTTCGTATTTTGTTAGGGACGGATCTAGTAACATAGTTCAGCACCTCCATTGTCTATATACTGTTTTCTTCATATTTTTGTAGATTTTGGTATTGGATCTACTATGGACAAGGACAGAAACAATCTGTCGGGAACGATATGTATACTAACGGGAACGACAGATTAACTGTCGGGATGTAAGAGCATAGGTTCATTTGTGTACGTTTGAAACTTGTGTTCCCCTGTATGGCTCCCTTGTTTACTGAAAATTGACGTACCCTGGAATGAACAAGTGCACTTTATTGACAACGTAGGTTGGTCGGGGTTATTTGGTTCGGGCTTAACACATCAACTTGGAAGCATCGAAAAATAAGTTATTTTTAAAATTCCTTGTAGGTGGAGTTAGGTCTTCATCTTCACGTATTTCAACTGGCAGTATATTCATGTTCAGGATTTTGAACTTCAATTCCATTTCGGTGTGCGGATTGATAATGCCAAGTTTGTCATTCAATCGTAACAAAAGTCCGGCTAGGGTAATATTTCTCGGCACTAAAATGGATGTGGTTTTGTTCCCTGTCCACTTCCATTCGTCATCCGCGTGAATAAACCTTCCCCCATGCGACACGATGAATCTTAAATGGGTGTTCATACCTAAAATAAAGGGATTACAACGATAAGAATTATGAACAGTCAATATATCGATATGTAATAGCATGGAAGTGGCACTTTCAAATATTTAAACCGATGCAATAGGAGAATGTGAAATGAAAGGTGTTAACAGTTTTCAACTGTTGATTTTGACAGTTGAAAACTCTATCCCATCGAGATCGACATGTCTAACCGTCGAGATCAGCAGATAAACTGTCGAGACCGCCGACAAGTTTAAGGCGTGTTTGTTTGTTACTTTCTCCAAAATATTAATGGTTATAATCAATTCTCAACTACAAAAATTATTCCATTGCTCTACAGATCTCCATAAATAAATGACTGCTTTATTAAATATGGAATAGTTGACATTTGCCTAAATATTTTTGGTATATTTTCCCTTTAAAATGATATCAAAAAAGAAATATCAATACCATCATCATTAATAATGGTTTTAAATGCTTTCTTCACTTTGATGATCATGTTGCTTTTAATATGTGAAAAATAATAAGCTATTAGATAAAAATATAAATAATTTGTAATAACTAACCTCTCAAAATGAATGATGAATTGAATAACAATATATTGTTGATGAAGGAAGAAAGAAGATGAAAGAAAATGGAGGGTTTCTTCAAGAGGGGATGTATTTGATGTGAAGTAGGATTTTTTTGCTTCTTGAAATTTTTTTTACGTCTTTTATCTTTTTTTTTTTTAGTAAATTCATATTATACAATATAATATATATTTACCAAATCATTATAATATACAAATTAAATAATGAAATCATTACAATTGATTGGATTGGAGACTACCATTAATATGCATTTAATACTCCTAAAAAGGAGAGATTAAGGGTAATTTGGACCTTTTCCACCAAAAAAGTGATATTTTTGATAAAATTTAGTGCACCTCAAAAGTTTTATAGCAATTTCAAAAAAAGTGTCATTTTTTTTAATTCCCCTATAAGATATTGTAGTCAAGTGACGAATAAAATATCATTCTCACGAAAATCATGTACTTAGTATAATTTTAATTAGTACTAACTCCAATCAATAGCCAATTTATGAATTGTAATTTTATAAATAATTATGTAACAAAAGTAATGAGCAACTACGAAATATTAGTAAAAAATTAATTAAAACACACATTAAGACTTTAAATGCTCTATATTAATCTATTTTAATATAACTCAATATCATGACAACACTTATCTATTCTTGATCAATGTTCCTATTCGTTTAACAATCTCTCTCTCAATAAAATTAAACATATATTCACATTAATGCCTTGTTTGATTTCTATTTTTTTCAAAATACATTTTTCTCTCTCTCTCTCTCTCCTTATTAACCACACATTTTTCAATAAAAATAATATTACACATAAATCTAAGAGCTTGTTGGATAGAGATTTTGATAATTGATTTTTTGATCGTTAAAGATAAAGTGAGTCATACCCGTGAGAGAAGAATTCAAAAATGACGGCTGAAATAATGAAATAACAGTCAAAAAAATGATTTTAATTGGCTTTTAATTTATACCAAACCAGCACTAAAACTTTTTCCTTATTTTTTAATTATATATTTTCAATTAATCTACTATTCCAAAATGTGTTTTTTTCAATTTAATGGAGCTCAAACAAGCCTTAAACCGTCACATGTTTCAATGAAAGGTGGGAACATAAAAGGATACATTATAAGCAACAAAACACTTATTGAAATTGTGCAAGATATAGTGGTATAATTTCATCCACTATCGGATCTCATAACCATTGTATAATTTGCTATATTCCATATTTATTTTCTCAAACATAATAAAAACCACACATCAATCAATTAGTGATTAATTAATTACAAATCATTAAATACTATTATAATCATTCAAAGTAAACAAATGTTTGATGGCAAAGTCTTGAAATTAATATCAACAAATTTCGTAATAAATTACAGTCAATATATAACTAAATTACGTTGTAATATTATCAATTGACTCCCAAATGTCCACTTTTAACAATCCGGATAGGTATAGAAAATACACCACCGTCAAGCATCAATCTTTTGGTCTATACAAATCCACTTATGGCTTATTTGATAAAGTAGTTTATAATATTAAATTAAAAAAACACTAAAATTTCGTCCATTCTACCATTGAGGACGATTTAATATTCCTTACCAAACATGAAGTTAATATTTTCCATCCCACGAAATCACTCAGCATATCAATAACTTCTAGCTTAGTTTGTTGCTTATAAGTCCCTCAAGCGACCCGACTAAAGCTAAAATAGTGCATAGCAAGCAAAATATTTTGAAAGCCTGAAGAACTGTCCATGTTCCTGTCCAAGCTCGAATGTTGTTCTGTGCAAGGTACATCTCGACTGGAAAATAAATAGCCAAAGGCCAGAAATTTAAAGCACCAAGAACTCCTAAAACTTGGTTGAAGTAAGGAAAAAGAATAGCCAGCCCTGTTGTAGACGCAACATAAGCAGTTCTGAAACACAGTCGAAGAAGATTCAACTTGAAATCCGGCAGTAATGGGAGCTTAATTCTGCGTTCTTTATTTACGAATTCACTATTTGGATGCTTATTTGAAATCCATCTCTCAGCTACTGCAAATAATGGCTGACTGTAGATCTGCAAAAGCCAAAACATATGCAACATATATCATAATCCAAGGTGAAAATAGAAAACAATGACCTATAAAGTTATTGATATACTACATAGTTTCTGTATGAGTCTGAAACTATTAGCTACATCTGTTGTAAAACTTTAATTCAAGTAGAAGTTTGACGATTACAAAAAAGACTAAACTTTTGGGATTAATACAACCATTGTGCACACTAATGATTTCAGATTCAAGAACCTTGTAAGAAAACATGAGCCTGTTTGACATGATTTTTGAAAAGACAAAAGGAGCTTTTGAGACCCAAAAGCTGCTTTTGATAGTTAAAAGAACTTTCAGAATGTGAAGTGTTTTTAAATATTAGTTTTCAAACAAAAATTACGGTAACTTCCTCCAAAAACTCTTCTACAATAAGCAAAAGCAAAAGTAGAAGTTATGTCAAACGGGCCCATAATGTCTTCGCTACTGTTTTCAAAACACTGAAGCCAGTTTGGCAAGATTTCTACTTTTATTTTTTGTAAAAGAGTTTCCTCTAAAAGCTCATTTAAATTATCGAAATAGGGCAAAATGTAGCTTTTTAGTCTTGGAAGCAGCTTTTAACTTTTCAAAAACCCTGCCAAACAGGCCTGCATCTATTCAAAGCCTACAAGGAAATGCTTGCATAATCTTGTGAATAGGGCACAGTACCTGATATCCTCCCACAAGATGAAGAACTATACACGCATTGGCAAAGTCAACAAGCCAATAGGGTTCATAAAATCCAAAGCCTGTCAATAGATTTCCAGGTGCCTGGTTGCCAAAAGCAGCATATCCAAAACATCCACAGCAGAGAAAGAAGAATGTGGTAATAAGTATAGCTGTAGCTGATGCCTTTTTCATTGTCTTGTTCTCTGGCGGCGGTGCCTTTAGAGTATCCTACATTTGCACATTCATTCTTCGTTATTTTGCTCAAGTTTTTAATTTCAAAATCAAGATCAGAAGATGGATATCAGAGAATATCATATAGGTATCAAGTGCTATTTTCTCACCTGAATGTCAAGAAGAATTATGTTGTAGGTGAAAGCAAAAGCAATATCTCCAATTGCTTGTGAGGAGAGCCATACTTTCTGAGCCGTTGTAGCTGTAGATACTCCAGTAATATCTCCCTTGATTTCTCCATCTTCTGCATTTTTCATCTAGAAAGGCTAAGTATAGGAGTAAATGTATACTGATCCAAGAACATCGCAAGAAGTACTTTTTCGTACTGATTTCCACGATGAGCATATAGAACTCAAATTTGGAATTTTTTTCCACTAAAGTTAATTATATCAATATGTAAGATATTAAGGAGGTATTTGAGCCACATTATTTTGGTAATAATGTATTCTTGAATAGTGTATTGATGGGAAATGTGTGGTTAAAAAAGAAGGAAAATTTTTTGATTTGCGTGTAATAATATTTTATTAAAGAATGTGTGATTGAAATAATGTCAAATCACTGTTTAAAAATACATTTTTTGAAATAATGTGGCTCAAACAGGCTCTAAATTATGACCTCCACATGTGCTTGTTTCAGAGTGAACCCAAAGACAGAAATGTCGAATTAAATTTACCTACTACTTTTGCAAAACCAAGTGCGAGTCCAATGAAGGTATAAGCAAAGGACATGATTGCTGCAACTATTGAGAGCAGCTCCATGTTGTGGAAGTCAGGTATCTGAGAGAATAGTACTTGTACAGCTCCAAATATCAACATAAACAAATTTTCACCATATTCACATGGAGCATTGTGCCCTTTCTTGTGGTAGCAATTTGATTTCAGAATTGCCCTAAACCAAAACAAATCACCATCTACAACTATAATGTGGAGAACCCGAAAATTCATACAAGTTGCTAGTTCTGTGGGTACGCAGCCAAATATGCCAGATAAAGAAATATGTAGATGCGGAGTAATAGGCAGAAACACCATGGAGCACCTTGTCACTACAAGGGCATTATGAATGCATTCAAGTGGAAAAAATAGCACCGGTAAGCATTGCAATATATTTAGTAGATAAGATCGTAATGATAATATGCTAAAAATGTAGATTACTAAATCAAAATAACTAATATACTTGTTCTTTAAGGCGTTGACAGCAAAAGCGGCAAATTTTACTGAGGGTGAATCAAACTAAGTGGGTAAGATTTAAATTTCAGTTTGGTGAAAACAGCATCCAGTGCATAACCAATTAACAGTTCGTGGAGTAGCTTAAGAATCTGACAAATTTGTTCATAGAACTTATATACTGCATTTTCCTTATTTATGTTTATTCCTAAAGGAGCTATCATCCTGTGAGTGATAGCAAACGTTTGGGCAAACCGAGTATGAAACAGATAGCCCCTCCCTTCCTATTCAATTTATTGCAACGTTTTCGAGAGCCTTGACTTCACGAAAGACTCTCGGACCAAGAGTGTAGTTAGAAAGCCAAGCTATTTCAAAATTTCACACAACCAAAGAGAAGACAGAACACCAAGGAATGTCACACACAAAATACATTAGCAAAATGATCGAAGGACAATTTTCACAACTTTATTGACATCTAAGTTATTAGTAGCTTTTCCCAAAGTGCTTGAGCATATCAATCAGCGATCCATCAATTTTGCAAAATAATGACTGAATTCTTGAGAACATAGCAACAGCATGAAGTTGATTGATTACATTGAAGAAGAGCAGTAAGCACTGATGTGAACTACCTCATACTGATGGCTGATGTTATTGTATAAGCAGTCCCATAGCCAAAATAGCTTTCTTGAAGAAACGATCCTGCCACCCACATGTTCTTCTTTCCTGAAATTTACATAGTTCTTATAATGAATTTTCTCGAAACTCCAGAAATATCATTTCCACATCAAATTACGTATCTGATATCACTAAGCAATCTCCTCAAATTTTATCAGTTGGTGTGTCAAAGGCAATCCAGTGGGGGGTTTTTTGACTCTCTGCTAACAATCCTTATCTCAAAGGAGGCTTAAACTCAGTCTCATTGGCTTGAGAAGGCTTTGCTCGTACCACTTGAGCTAGGCCTTGGCCCCCAGTGCAATTAGTCCCTCCCAACTTTAGAAACGTAAGCGAAAACCAAAACGTACAAATTTCAAATTCTCAGATAAAACTATTGAATGCAATATTATGGTGGTCTAACAAACATTTACCTAAGTAAGACCTCACAGCTTCAGCATAAGACCTATTTCTGATGTGCCCAACTTCAGGATCAGGATATCTGTAACAATTACAGAGCAAATTTGATGAAATTATAGTGATTATTCCAAACATCACCATACATATTGGGCCTGCAATCCATCCCAGCTGAGCTACACTCCATGCCAATGACAACACTCCAGACCCTATAACTCCAGTTATTATATGGGCAATTGCTGTCCATACAGTTCCTTCACATCCAAACCAAAAGAAAAACACAACCCAAAATTCAGTTTCTCTATAAAATCATTTTCTTCATATTAGTGAAAGTAAAACAGAAAAAGGCTTCAATTGAAGTTCAAGAAAACAAAATCATTCTTAGAAGACCAAAATGTTACCAAAAAATAAAAAAGAAATCTCTTTTTCCATTATACAAGAAATTGAATAGTGAATATAATGTCAAGATAGTTGACTACTGTAATCCAAATATTGAAGAAAACCTGTTCTTTTTATGGAGTTATTATGAGAATTTGCGGATGAAGATGCAGAATCGGTGAGCAGAGGAGAGGTTTGTCCATCTCTTTCTTCAACTTCAACCATTTTTTTCAGGTGAGTATTGGATTTGGGTGTAGCAAAGCAAATTCAGAATGGCACTACGAACCATCAACCAACCAGAAAATATTGTGTTTAATCCAATTATTAAGCTGTAAAGTTCATTATGGTTTTGTATTCCACTGTCTTTCTCACAAATATCTTGCATAAAATTATAGCCGCAAACCTCTAATATTTAGCATTTGCGTGCGTCGTATTAAAAAATAATTATTTTTAAATTCATTTTTAATTATAATTTTAGATGTTAATGTATAATTTTTTCTCTTTTAATTACACATTTTATAAAATTATTATTTTTCATTTTCTCCATAAACTTGTACAAGTGGGTCCCCATTTTACAGCTAGTAGGCGGTAATGTTAGGTAGATAAGGGCAAATTGCTCGAAGGTTCTTACTCTTTCATAATTTTGAAGTCGTGTCCTCAAAGTTTCCTTTGAAGCGCACGACAACTTGACTTACCGAAAAATCTCTAGTTAGATGTTAAACGTCCATACGCATATGATATCTGAATGAAGTGTAAAATAGTTCAATAAGGATTTTCTTTATTTCAACATTGAAAGTATGTAGCATAGGATTTTATTAATTAAGTCTTTATTTGGCTCTCGTTAAAGTTTTAATATATTTTTCTCTTTCTTATTTTCAATCACATATTTTTTAATAAAATAATATTACACTAAATTTAAAAAAAAA